AGGCAGTTGGAACAGGGCATGGCACAGTGTCCCTGTATGAGAAGACTGAGCCTGGAGGAAGCTCCTGTTAAAACTGGTTTTGCATGTTCACCTGTGAATGCTGCGTTGTTCTTGGGGAGACATGGACGGCTGACCCCCTACCCAGTCTGGGCTCTACTAACCTGCCCTGCCTCCTCTGCGTTCTGGGTTAGAGGCCATGCCCTCAACTACATCGTGTGTTAAGAAGGAGGAGGAGGAGATTGGATTTATACCCTGCCCTTCACATGGAGTTTCAGAGCGGCTTACAATCTCCTTTCCCTTCCCCTCCCCATAACAGACACTCTGTGAGGTAGGTGGGGCTGAGAGAGCTCTTGAGAGAAGAGCTCTGAGAGAACTTGTGACTGACCCAAGGTCACACTAGCAGCTGCATGTGGAGGCGTGGGGAATCAAACCTGGTTCTCCCAGATTAGAGTCCGCACTCTTAGCCACCACACCAAACTGACCCTCAAGGATGCTTATGCTGACGTTCTGCAAAATAGCAGACCTGGTCAATGTTCCCTCTAAGCTGTGGAGTCCTGTGAGCAGAAATTCTACTTTGTGAGCTACTGGCATTAAAGTTGTGAGCAGGTAGTTTGGCTGCTGCATAAAATTAGTTTGCTCTGGAGCCATCTTTCCTAAGACAAAAATGTGTGATCTGGAGGCTAAAAAACTGTGAGCTAGCTCACAGTAACTCAGCTTAGAGGGAACACTGGAGCTAATGCGACCTGATTAAGTGTAGATAGAATGAACCTGCCCTGGCCTAGATAGCCCAGGCTAGCCCGATCTGGTCAGGTCTAGGAGGCTAAGCAGGGCTGACCCTGGCAAGTACTTGGATGGGAGACTTCCAAGGAATACCAGGGTCATGATGCAGAAGAAGACAATGGCGAACTGCCTCTGAATGTCTCTTGCTTTGGAAACCCTATGGGGTCGCCATAAATCAGCTGTGACTGATGGCACTTTCCATCACCAGAATGGACCTCCAGAATGAAGGCAGAGGAACAGCTGCGTGTGGTACAATAGTTATAGTGCTGGACTAAGATCTGGGAGACCCAGGTTTGAATCCCTACTCCACCATGAAGCTCGCTAGGAGACTTTGGGCCAGTCACATACCCTCAGCCTAGCTGACCTCACAGGGCCGGTGTGAGGTTAAAAACTGAAGAGGTGAGGAACAATGTTCAACACCCTGAGCTCTTCGTAGGAAGGCCAGAGCCAACAACCAATTTTAGAGCAACATCCCTTTGAAGACGGTGGTGGGAGTCAGACGGCCAGTCCCACTCTTTCAAAGAAGACTATCAGCAAGCCTCATTGCCACAATAATTAACAGTCCTATCAGCCTTCTTGCTTATGAATTGTCTACAGAAGCACAAGAAATGTATGCCCAAGGGACCAGATTTACATGGGACATACAGTTGCTGATTTTTAGGCTAAGGCAATATGAATATCTAGGCCCCAAAACTGCACTAGGTGGGCTGGAAGAGCCATCCTGCAGAAGGCACTGAGGCACATGATGCCCCCTCCAAGGACCAGGGGAAGAAGGCGTCTTTGCAATATCCAATCTCTACCTCTTACACACCTCGCCCATAATTACGGCAGCCATTTTGACAGGCACTTACATAATAGTCTGCTAATAAGAACTCTGTTTTGTTCTCTTCAATAGACATTGCCTTTTCTCCCAGCAACATCTGGGCGTCCTTTTCAGCATCAACTTTGCCGACAGCGCTGTGCATCTGTGTGTGATACTAGAATCATGACAAACAGGATTGGTTAGGAGGAACAAGTTCTTGTCATATTAAATGGGAAGTGAGGGATAATAGAATTACATACTGCAGTGAGGCTGTATCCAAAACTGGAAAGATGTTGGCTGTAGCAATTCAACATATTGCACAGAAGGTGCAGCCGCTCCTTTTCAAGATTGAGAATATTCTGTTTGAAAGAGGAAAAGTAATCACCGCACACAGAATAGACAAAATCACTGTATCACACTGGTCTTCTGCAAAGGTGCACAGAATTATTGTAGCAGTTCTAGTGGAACAGTCCCCTGAGTGTTTACTGTTAAGTTAAGAATGGGTCATTTGTGCAGGTTGCTAGCAGATGATTCCACAGTCCAAGGATGCGTAACAATGTCTTGAGACTGGTATGTGATCATTTCTCAGCAGAACCCAGACTTCTGGTTACTACAAGGTATAAAATAGTAAATGCAGCTTTCCAAGAATACGGTCAACACACATACTGTTATGTCTTGAGAGACATAATGGTAAAAGCATAATCTAGCATCGCTCATTATGCGGATTTTAAAACATGAAAATACTGACCAATGGTGTGCCTTCTGGAGGGAATGGTTTTGATTGGACGTTATGTATTGATTATGATTGGTTGCAATGAACATAAGATGATTGGATACTGTAAGTATTGTGGGCGTGGCTATCTCAGCCAGAATTGTATATAAATTGCCGTTTTGCCTATTGAAATAGTCTAGCTGGTCTACTCCTTACAAGACTAAGTCTTTATGCTGTTCTCACTGAAATAAAGCTGAAATCACTTGTTGAACTGTTCCTCCGAGTTAAGTGTCATACTTAACACATACCTTGTAATGTTTAGGCAGAAAAGAGGCAAAATTCAATTTTAAACCAGATCTTTAAATGACACTGCTTGTATGCTGCTTAAACTTCACTATAGACAAGAATAGGCACCTGAGCCGTGCTTTTCACTGTGCACTGAAACCTGAAGTGATACTCTTGGGATTCAAGTTTTTTGGTGAGCATTATGTGCATTGATTACCTCCTCTAGAAGTTTTTTGGTGAGCATTATGTGCATTGACTACCTCCTCTAGAAGTGAGGTTTCACAGCTGTAGGACTACAGTTGCAAAGGCCTTACCTCCCTGAAAGATATACAAACCATAAAGCATCCTCGTGGGCAGAAAGACCGCCCTGAGAAGTGGTAACCTAGCTTTCTTCCTTCCCAAGCAATCCAAATGTGGCAAATAATGTAACAAACGCACTGCATTTCCTTATACCAAAGTCTGCTTTCAGGGGGCATTGTTTTCCCCCATTGAGCGTATATGTGCAAGTATGAATATACACTGCATGGAACAGGGGGAAGCTTTGAATGTGTTGTAGCCAAGGATGCACATAAAAAGAGTACTGGTGACATTCAAGGGTGTCTCGGGTAACAGGTAAGCACAGTTCCTTCTGGCCCTCAGAGCTTGTTCACAGATTACAGCTTTCCCCCCATCCATCCATTTATACAGACATATTAACAGCAGTGCTGTTTGCTCACAGATTTCAGTTGCGGCAGATCTTGTCATCTTCTCGCACACACTTTGAAACATCAAAGGCATTGCTGTACCAGAGTTCTAAGCACCACCAGCCCACTCACCCACAAAAGAACCCAGGCCCCTCGTGAGTGAAAAAGTGGGCCCAGCCATCACCACACACGTTCACCGACATGATTAACTTTCTTCCATTGCAATCAGTGAGATTTTAAAGTGCTCAGATTCGGCTGGGTCATGGCATCTATTTCTTCTATGTAGGTGTACCTTTTCGCTAAAGAACACTTACAAAGTTTGAGGCAGATGAAAGCAATATTATTGACAGTAATGACAAATACATTCGCTCTCACAGCGGAGGTGGTGATGCTTAACTGGGTTTAATTAAACTTCTGCTTCAAGGGGAAAAAGATTGCTTAAGTTTAGGTTTTGAAAAAAGCATGTTTAATGAACAAAAAAAGATTGCTTAAGTTTACAGCCAAATTGTTGGCCGTGGTAGGTTTTGAAAAAAGCATGTTTAATGAACTTCTGTGTTTCTATTAGTTTTCCAGGTAAGATTCTAACATAAAAGGAGTAATTCTGGATGCGGATAAGAGACAATTTTAACTACACTGGGCCCCCAAGAAAAAGAAATACCAGTTAAGGTAGTGATCAGGATATGTGTACAGGAAGAACAATGTATAGTTAAATTACTTCCTGTTCTTTTTGCCCTAGAACAGGGTTCCCCAACGTGGAGCTTCCAGGTACCATGGCACCTGCCGAGAGCCAATTTAGTGTAGTGGTTAAGAGCGCGGACTCTAATATGGGAGAACCAGGTTTGATTCCCCACTCCTCCACATGCGCTACTGGTATGACCTGGGGTCAGTCACAAGTTATTTCAGAGCTGCTCTCTCATGAGCAGTTCTCAGTCAGAGCTCTCTCACCCCCACCTACCTCACAGGGTGTTTGTTGTGGGGAGGGGAAGAGAAAGGGATTGTAAACCGCTCTGAGACTCCTTTGGGTAGTGAAGGGTGGGGTATAAATCCAATATCTTCTTCTTTTTAGAAAGTGGGTGGGGCCAGGTGGGTCTTTTGCCGAGCTGGGCTTCTGACTGGCCATTGAACATCTTACTAGCTGTGCAGATTTTTAAAAAGTAGCTTCAGCAGCAGCTGCCGTCACAGTGGAAACATTGTCACTGTGTGACCAAAGATGTAATACGAGAAAATATTTATAAATATGTTCATTTTTAAAAGACATCTTGTTAAATAGGACTTCTGCTTGAAAAGTTGAAGAGTTACTATCAGAGTTCTGCATGACCTCATTCCCTGACATTTTGTGGTTGGCTCTGCTTCTTACGGCAGCCATTTTGTGATTGTGCCCACCACAACATCAGAATTCCAAAGACGCCCAAAGGCTCAAAAAGGTTGGGGACCCCAGCCCTAGAAATTATGGACAAAGGACAGTTTCTTATTTGGATCTAGGTTCATACATTTCAGAGTAGGGACACACATTAAACCTTCCTCACTTCAATAAATAAGAATCTGGGTTAGATCTAAAATACTGTGAAAAGTACTCCTTTCATAGAATTGGGCCATACCTGTTCTTGCTACAGCCCCATGTGGTCAGGGGATCCCAGGAACAGAGCTAGCCATGATGGGGGCGGGTCTGCAGTGGGAGGGAGCAACTGGCAAATATTTTACCTTCCTCTGCCAGCAGAAGTGCCCCCAGTCTCCCCTAATGGGTACTGCTGAGATAATCAAGGCTCTGTTTGATGATGTTATAAGAATATCCTTCAACTAACAAGTGAAGACCTTCAGTTGGTGTTGTTGCTGAGGTCTCTTCTTGGCCCGGGGTAGTTGGCAGCACTAGAACAAATGCAGCGGCATTAAAGCAGAGTCAGGCTGCTGGTTCATCCCCTCTAACTATCTCTAAATTTTGTGGCCTTGGGAAAAGGCTGTGACTCTGCCAGAAATTGTTTTACTGGAGGTGCCAGAAATGGAGTCTGGGACTTTCCTAAACTATGACCCATTCCCCCTTTCCTCTTTTTAAAAAAAGAATCTTCAAAATGAGTGATGTTTCTTTCCAGGGTGGTTTTTTAGGCCTTGAGTTCTCTCTTGAACAGACAACTGTAAATGAGGAGGTATTTTATTATCGTTGAATGGTGAAGGGAGAGGAGTCCAGAGTATGGCTTGTCACTATTCTGAGGGGAAAGAGACAGTTTGAAACTGTTAAACGGCACAAGAAAAGAACCTCAAAACACTTGCCTGATGGCAATTTTCTAAAGTGGTCCCCCATTGTAACCTAGCTTCGCAGGCGGCTAAATTCTTTTTGTAATAATCTTCGTCATCCTTTACCAGCTTTGTCGTAGATTTTTCCAGGTTTCTGAGCAACTAAAATAAAAATATAAACGTGTGGTTGTATCAAAAACACATGAGATGACTGACTTTGCTCACTTGAGCAGCTGCCTCATAGTGAGCACAAATTGTCTTTTATTTATGCCTGTGTGAGGCCAGAACTAGGTAAGGTCAACCAACATCTTTATAGCACCCACCAGTGTACAATGCTATATGCAAAACTGATATGCAAAAAAAAAGTGTGAGGGGGTAGGAGAAGGGAAAGGATTATTTGAATCTACACACTACTGAGAAAAGGATAGGTGATGGGTTTATGTCTGCCAAACAACGAAGCAGAAGAGATAATTGCACACTGTACGTGACCAGCACTTAATCCTAAACAGAGTTATACCCTTCTAAGTTCATTGAAGTCCACTGACCTAGAAGGATATAACTCTGCTAAGGATTGCCCTGCTAATGTTGCTGATCCAGAGATTCTTCTGCTCACTCTCTGAATAGTGAGCAGAAGGTAGATCATGTAAACCAATCCTGACTCCTTTCCCAGGTATTTACAAATCTGAGCAGGCCCGTAGCTACAGTGGGGCATCTCGGGGCCGCCCCCCCCCCGACTTATCGCCCAGGCCTCCTGACTTCCCATCCAGCTGGTTTATTTTATTTCATTTTTGTGCACGCCACAGCCGCACCGTCGCCCTCCCCTGCCTGCCGGTGCCCTCACCTCTCTCTCCCATTGCTTTTTAAAAACTTTGACTCTCTCGTCGCTCCGAACACAGCCTGGAGGTGTGTGAGGGGTGCCCCCAAACTTATTTAAATGCCCTCCAAAGTAAAAAAAAAGCCCCGCATCTAAGTACCTTTTGTTTGGTCTTTGGTGAAGCCAAGGGCTGGGAGTTTTCTGTATCCCGGAAGAGTGCTTCATGGTCCCTGGTAAGCTCTTTTAATTTCTTCTTGGCCTGCCACCAAATACAGAGATGAGCAAGCAAAAGAAACATAATAATGGACTGATTCCACACACACCAGCTGAGCTATCATACCCAACTGTTTGTCCATGTCCTGATTATTGTCCCCTCCAAAGGCATCTCTTGCTGCTGAAGACATACAAAATAATTTTGCCATCTAGAGAGGGTAACATCTCTCAGAAGATGACGCATTGTGTCTTTTGCAAGGAAGTGTCATGGCACAAAGCTTATGGGACGAGGATGCATCCTGGCCCAGTAGCCACTCATAAACATATACATTAACCATTGTACTTGCAAGATCTGTTGATAAAGGCCGCCCACTGAGATCCACTGAGAGTGCACGCAAATTACACAGGCTCAGCAAAAGACTACCTGCGTTTGATGCCTTGTGACATTTATAGATTCATCTGTGTCAGACATTATTTCTAAGCTCACTGATGTCCCAACTCAACAGATTTTTACGTTTGGAAGTATAAAATGACCTACATGGCCTATATCAGATCACTGATACAGACTCAAACACCTGCCAGTTCCAAACAGCTAGTTCCCAATGGTGTTTTCAGTTCAGCTCATAATCTAGTAAGGGTAAGTGCGCCAGACTTGCCTCAACAATTTTCCTTGTCTTGGAGAAGCAGCAAGGGTGGCCAAGTCCAGGTTAGGAAACTCCTGGAGATTTGGGGAGGCAGTACTTGGGGGGGGGATTCGGAGAGGGGCCTCAGTGGAGTCCACCTTCCAAAGCTACCATTTTCTCCAGGGGAACTGATCTTTGTAATCTGGAGATCAGATGTAATTTTGGGAGATTTCTGAGCCACACTTGGGGATTGGCAACCCTAGAAGCTATACCATCATCACCCATCCAAATCCTTATTGTAATTTTTTTTTAAAACAAATGTAAACATTAAACTCAACATTCCTCCAGATGATCAGTTCAAGGAAGTTTTCTTAGGCTCAAGAATGGCTTAAAACTGCTGAGTGAATGATAGGATATAAACTGTTATTCTGTCCTTTAAAACTCTTCCCACCAATTCACCTCAGGCGGCGACAAAGAAAGGGCTCATTTGCTCTGGAGAGGGTCTCTGCCCACAATAGGTTGTATCCATGCCCTTCAGTCTGTTCTCTGTTCTCACAGCACACCACACATGGATGCAATGTCAAACGATCAGTCTTTGGATAACATTCTGTCATGCAACTATGCATCCACCATAGCTGGATATTATTATCAGTAACGAGAGGGGAAATTGTCTCTCCGTGTGCCTTGTTCTACGTCAAACCTACTCTAGCAGCAGGTTTAGATTCATAATGCTAGGGAGGAGGGGGAGGAGGAAGAGAAGAAAGAGTCTGCTGCTGGAGGCTCTATGAGCCACCATCTGGCTAGACTACAGCACCATCAGGAAGTACCTGGGAGACTAACACATGTCTGCAAATCTTTTCTTTAAAGATACTGAGCTGTGTTCCAGATAACAAACTGAGCTTGCCGGTCAGTGTAGTCAATCACACACATTGCTGTATAATGGCCATCCAGATGACATACAAGACTGCCTGTCCTTTCCATTTAGAGATAAAATATCAGATTTGCAATTAAGCATATCAGTATTCATTCCCACCCTAGCACAGCCAGCTGATGCTTTTTATTTGAAATTAGGAAGCACAATCTATTCAGCTGAACCCTTATTAATCACATTTGTGTTGCTGAAAATGAGAGGACTTGGAAATGTTTGCTTTGACTGGATCATGCCCACGCAATTTTACAGTAAAAGTATATGGAATCTTGCCTTTATTTGTTGGCGCCAGTTGCTGACAACCATGTCCTCTGTCTTCTCCACCATGTTATCTAGCTTATGGGACAGAAACACAATACAATTGAAAAAGCAAATAATCTAATCAGTTTTGTCTTCTAGTATTGGAAGAGTCCGATAAACAGCGCTTTATTAGGTCATATTACTACTGAATGTCTGGCTGAAGTAATTTTTAGCGCAAGGAAGGGGGGGGTCAACAGTGGGAGGGCTTCTAATGTCCTGGCCCCACTGCTGGACCTCCTGATGGCACTGGTATTTCTGGCCACTGTGTGACACAGAGTGTTGGACTGGATGGGCCTTTGGCCTGATCCAAAATTGGCGTCTCTTATGTTCTTATGTTCTTAAATTGTAGAAAATTTGTAAAAAGCCTATTGTGCTTGCAAAACCAAATCCTCACAGGTTCAGACTGGATCCATACTCATTCACTTATGAGACTTTCTTGGGTAGAAAGAAAAATGCAAGAAGTCAATGAATACAACAGTGCAGTATCCAGTGGCATATAGATTCTGACTCTTAGAGTACAATCTAGCTCCCACTGAATCAGTAAGCAATCTCCCATTGATTTCATTGAAACAGGGACACACCTTTCTCAGTAATTATAGGGTTGGATTCCGCCAGCTTTTCAGTTAGTCATGCACAGTTTTCTTCTTTACCTGCCTTTCTATGTGGCTTTTGTACATGGAGGTCCCATAATTCCAAGCATAGCCTTAGGGGGGTAAGTCAGAGGGGACACTTCCTTCTATTTACATCAGCAGAAAAGCTGCTTGGATCCAACCAATATCGTCAGCATTATGCTGGTATCTTTCCAAAGAATGGTGTCGTTCCCCCCCCCAAAAAAGGCAGCTTTTAAAACTGATATGTTTATTAATTCACAGTAAAGACGTCAGATAGCACATCACATATTACATTCTGTGAGTATCTCAAAACATGACAAGCAAATATGTTGCTTTCACTGTTTAAACACACCACAGAAAGTAGGACCTCACAAAAAAACCCCTACAGTGTGCACACCACAGTAACAATAATCCTTGTACACTTCCTGCAGATGACCCCGAAGAGCAACACTCTTTAGAGTGTTAGAATATGAGAACAGGTGTTAGAATATGAGAACAGGATCTGGGAGAAATCTGCCATGGAACCTTGGGCCAATCTTTCTCTCTCAGGGTCAAAAGACATATTAAGTGTGACACAATTTGGGACCCCGAAGAGCAACACTCTTTAGATGTCTGTCTCTTGAGGAGAACCTTCACAGATCTGAGGACGTACAGATTTTATAACACTGATGTTCATCTAACTGGCTCACCTGAGGAAGCCTATCTCCCATTGATTTCATTGAAACAGGGACACACCTTTCTCAGTAATTATAGGGTTGGATTCCGCCAGTTTTCAGTTAGTCATGCACAGTTTTCTTCTTTACCAGCCTTTCTATGTGGCTTTTGTACATGGAGGTTCCATAATTCCAAGCATAGCCTTAGGGGGGTAAGTCAGAGGGGACACTTCCTTCTATTTACATCAGCAGAAAAGCTGCTTGGATCCAACCAATATCGTCAGCATTATGCTGGTATCTTTCCAAAGAATGGTGTCGTTCCCCCCCCCAAAAAGGCAGCTTTTAAAACTGATATGTTTATTAATTCACAGTAAAGACGTCAGATAGCACATCACATATTACATTCTGTGAGTATCTCAAAACATGACAAGTAAATATGTTACTTTCACTGTTAAAACACACCACAGAAAGTAGGACCTCACAAAAAAACACCCTACAGTGTGCACACCACAGTAACAATAATCCTTGTACACTTCCTGCAGATGACCCCGAAGAGCAACACTCTTTAGAGTGTTAGAATATGAGAACAGGTGTTAGAATATGAGAACAGGATCTGGGAGAAATCTGCCATGGAACCTTGGGCCAATCTTTCTCTCTCAGGGTCAAAAGACATATTAAGTGTGACACAATTTGGGACCCCGAAGAGCAACACTCTTTAGATGTCTGTCTCTTGAGGAGAACCTTCACAGATCTGAGGACGTACAGATTTTATAACACTGATGTTCATCTAACTGGCTCACCTGAGGAAGCCTATCAATGACCCACAAAGTAGACAATTACTCCCAACAGACTTATGGTAAAGGAAAAACCTGGAGGATTACATGTTCAGAAAGAAAGTATTTTACATGTAATTATCAAGTTGATGACGAGCAGCCCTACAAGTTTGATGGAGTCGAAGAGAAACTTCCTTAGGATGACTAAGCCTGTCTCTTGAGTATCTTTCTTTATGTGGGGACACCCAAGGCCGGCCCCAGCTTATTTTGCACCCTAGGCGGGGATCCCTTCTGGCGCCCTCCCACCACCGGCGCGCCCACCAATTTTCAAAAATAAATGCTTTTTAGGAAGAATGAAAAACACAAATAATCAAGAAACTCCCAGAGTATGGGGCTGGGTGCAGTTTGGTGCCCCTAAGGGCCAGCCCGCTCTAGGCGATCGCCTAGTTCGCCTAGTGAGTGAGCCGGCCCTGGGGACACCTACGTTTGTCTCTGTTTAAGGAGGCTCCATTATCTAGTGTAAGCTGTGAGAGAAGTCTCATCTCAGAGCCAGCATGCTGCAGTAGGCCGACTGGACTAGAATTTAGGAGACCTGTGTTCAAATCCCTACTTGGCCACAAAGCTTGCTGGGTGATCTTGGCCCAGTCAGCTGAATCTATCTCAAAAGTTTGTGTGTGAATAGAGCAAATAAGAGAAGACAAATTGTATAAGCCACCCTGAGCTTCTTGGAGAAAGGAAGGGATAAAAAGTATGATAGATCTGTTTATATTACTCTGTCATCCCAACTTGGGGGAGCAAATGAGCTGAAAATGTACCTTCCAGGGACTGGACAGGTATACATTCAAGGATATCATTATACTAGCCCCAACTAGCATCATATATGCAAATGTCCTCAAAGCGCTGTCCCAGATTACTCAAAAAAGTAACAAAAAAGCTACTCACTGATTTCTTCTTCTTCTCATGTTCATCCAGGATGCGTTTCATTGGGTTTATTGCTTCTGTCTGAATAGCTTTGCCAAGTTTACTGGGCACAGAACATAAAACACATACACCTGCTGCATGAAAATTCGCCTTCTCGGAAATTATTTGGCAGACAAACCATATGGGAACAGTTGTAAATATTCTCTGTGCAACCCCAGAGCAAGCAATAAAAAAACTGAAATGTTTATTGTACAGGTTTTAAAACCTTTCTCGCCCCCAGTGGACTTTGAATAATGTGCCATCTTGTACTCACCAGTGCAAATCAGATGTTGATTTCATCCCCTCCGAAACACAATACCAGGCACCGCAAATATAACTAAAGAGAAAATATGGATATTAGCTCTTGCTTCAGCTTTGGAAAATCAACAACCAATCTGCAAAGGATCTAGTCTGAGAGTCCGTTTAAAATTCATATCACTTCTGCATTAATACTTTGCATTTGTAAAACCAAATTTGGTAACCAAATCTGCAAAACAGCCATTATACAATAAGTCTGAATGACGGGAGCTCAATTATTCAGTACTGTATAGAACTGACACCATCTTGTGAAAAGCAAACTTTCCAAAAGAGAGCCAAAGCGGTGTAGGTGTTAGACTATGAGAACAGGATCTGGGAGAAATCTGCCATGGAAGCGTGGTGGATGACCTTGGGCCAATCTTTCTCTCTCAGGGTCAAAAGACATATTAAGTGTGACACAATGGGTCCCAGGTGCCCAACCTGACTACTTCTGCATCTGGCATTCGCTCCACATTTTCTCAACACTGAGGAGAAGGTGCAACTCAAAACCACATTCAAGTATCCCGGGCCAATGCTGTACTGACTGCAAAGTCACCCCTAAATGGTCATAAAAATGGCCATAAATCTATGCAGAAGGTACCATAAAACCCGATTATCAAAGAAAGTGAAAACGGCATGCAGTGTAGAGGGTACCATTTAACCCGATTATCAAAGAAAGTGACAGCAGCATGCAATGCAGACAGGAATTTCTGTTCCAGTGTGGGTTTGCTAAAGCCATGGAGGGAAAAGCCAATGCAGAAGTGCCCTCAGTTAAACCTGCGGGAGCTAACTTTTTCTAAAAAAACCCCTTTCGTTGCGTCACATGGCTCCAAATGGCTGTGAAGGGGAGGGAGGAGCT